TTTTTTTTTTTTTTTTTTTTTTTTTTTTTGTAGTATCATCAGGGCCTCTGACTTTGGAGTAACTTGGGAGTCACTTGGGGGCTTATTAAAAGTATGGCTCCTTGGGTTCCATCCCCTTTACTTTTAATTTTGTAATAAACTCCACAGAGGATTTCAGTATGCATTGCACTGGGGTTCTCCAGAGAAATAAAACTTTTAGGAGATTTTCTCTTTTTCTGTCAAGAACGCCTTATACAGAATTGACTTATCTGATTCAGAGACTGAGAAGTTCGAAGGTCTCTACCCGGCGACGTGGGGGCTTGGGAGAACATCGGGCATAGTAACAGTCTGAGTCTGAAGGCAAGAGACATGGCTTCACAGCTGGGAGACAGCAACTCCAGGGGAAGGACAAGAGCAGTGAATGTGTGCCATTAGGTATTGATGGTCCTGCTAAGCTTTATACATATCTTGCTAATCACTGAGCTGAACCCTTAAGGGGGGGGGGTTATAGCCTGTAAATAGTGTCAATAAAAATGTGAAGAGAAGAGAGAGGAGGAAACCCAGAACAAGATGTGGGCCAGCTCTTGTCAGTATCTCTTTTGTTTCTATAAAGAAGTATGATAAAAATTTAATTTAAAAACGTGGATATTAGATCTATAATATAGGACAAACATACTAAAATCTGTATACCTAAAGAAGCTAAGCAAGAAGGAGGACCCTGGGTAAGATGATCAGTTCTCACTCAGAAAGGGAAACAGGATGGACATCAAAAGAGGGAGAAAACAGGGAACAGGACAGGAGACTTTGAAAGACTCTACCCAGCAAGGTATCAAAACAGATGCTGAGACTCATAGCCAAGCTTTCAGCAGAGTGGCAGGGAATCTTATAAAAGAAGGGGGAGATAGAAAGACCTGGAGGGGACAGGAGCTCCACAAGGAGAGCAACAGAAACAGAAAATATGGACCCAGTAGTCTTTCCTGAGACTGATACTCCCACCAAGGACCATGCATGGAGATAACCTAGAACCCCTGCACAGATGTAGCTCATGACAGCTCAGTATCCAAGTGGGTGCCCTAGTAATGGGAACAGGGACTGTGTTTGACATGAACTCAGGGGCTGGTTCTTTGATCAACTCCCCCGATTGGGGGGGGGGGGAGTAGCCTTATCAGGCCACAGAGAAAGACATTGCAGCCACTCCTGATGAGACCTGATAGGCTAGGGTCAGATGGAAGGGGAGGAGGACATCCCCTATCAGTGGACTTGGGGAGGAGCATGGGAGGTGATGAGGGAGGGAGGGTGGGATTGGGAGGAGGCTACAGCTGGGATACAAAGTGAATAAACTGTAATTAATAAGAATAAATTAATTAAAATTAAAAAAAGAAGTATGAAAGCCTGGGTATAGCAGCTGTGAGGTGAAGGAGTTCTTAGTTACGCAGGTGGAACTGCAGCATGTTTGCTGATTCAAATGACCCGTCAGAAAGGGGAAGATTAGTGAGCCACTGTGAAGCAGACTTTTGTAGGTGTCAAATCATAGTTCACCACTTGAAGCAACTTTCTTCATGTTTGTTTTCTAGGTGACAGACCAGTCAGTGAAGGCCTTTGCTGAACACTGCCCTGAACTCCAGTATGTTGGTTTCATGGGCTGTTCAGTTACTTCCAAAGGAGTCATTCACCTCACCAAGGTGAGTACCATAGCCCCATCTTGCTGAGGTTTCTGAGTATCATGAAGGCGACCGGCCATAGTATTATCCCCATCAGTCCTCCTCTCGTTTCTAGGCAGCCACTGCACATGGAGCTGTATCCCAGACCATCTTTTTACTTTTTGCTTTGTGGCACGATCGGCTGTGATCTTAACATGTAGCTCATGGAGTCCTCCTGCAGTGGCCACCGATTAGCAGGAATCACAGGCCTGTCACACTTGGTTTAGTTCATTGCTTGTCTTGAAGCAGTGTCTTCTGTTGCCTAGCTGCTCACAAATTCACGGGTTCCGGATCAGCCTTTCTTCTGTGTGGCTGGCTTTATGGGCATTTTCCAATTGTATCTGGCTTTCTGGAATAGCCAAATGTGGTTCACCAAAAATAGATAACTACTATAGAAGTGTGCCAGTATTTGATAAAGTAAAATGAGTTTTATAAAACTACCTCCTTACTTTTTGTGAATGGAATCCTTATTTTAAAATAAAACTGTGCTTCATGTTTTCATGCTGATACTTATAAAGAAATGCATTAAAGAAATGGATGTCACTTAAATTTTAATTTAAAGCATTGTATGTAGATGATGCATTCATTCAGTTTCAACTACTCTTCTATCACTGTGCCCTGGGACCATTAGCTTTAAAAAGACAATTTAATATTCCTAATCTGACTCTATTAGATGAGCTGAGAATGTATGTCACAAAGTTTGCCTGCTGGCTTAGAGTCTGAAGACAGGAGAGACGGTTTCCCCGGTGGAAGATAGTAGTCTAGGGGTGACAGTGACATTGGGGACTGATGGCTCTGCCTAATGAGTCGCTAACACCCAACCATAGAGTTTACAAGCGACGAAGGCACAGGCTTTTTGGCAGCATGTTTCATTTCTGCCCCATTCCATAGCTCTGAGATTGTTAGGGGCCAACTTTTACACCCATGTGATAATGAACAGGCTCCTGTGAAGTCGACCTGTGTGACACCTGACTGTGCACCATAGCTTTAACTCATACCACATTGCACTTAGGAAAGGAGGGCTGCTGTTGACCTGTTGACATAACAGCAGAATAGCCGTGTCCTTCAACTTTCTCTCTAATGATTACAAAGCTGTTACGTGGCAGCACAATGCTGAAATAAATAGGAAGATCACAGCTCACTTTATGCTTGATCTGTTTGGTTTTCTTCAGGGTGACAGTTTAGTGAGTGATCTTTCCTTCCTTCTAGGACAATGAACAAATGTTTCTGCATTACGTAACAATGTGGTGGGGTGGTGAATAGGTGCCCAAGCTCCTGTATCAGCACGGTTCTGGTCCTTGGCTCTGCCACTTACTCGCTAAGAGGGCAAATTATGTTTCCCTCTTGTTAACTAAGGCACTATATGACAGTGCTTCCCTCAGGAAGAGTAAAGTATGCAGTCGCTATTACCGTCAAAAGAGATTCCACACTATGCAGATTGCTAGAAAATTTGTGCAAACTTTGGTTTAAAAAAAATCAAATCGCCATTTTGGCATGTTTTAAAGAGGGACTGTGGTCAGATTGTATCTGAAATGACTGATCAGACTAATTTTATTCAGAGGAACAGTGCCTAAAGCTAGAGGAAAAGATAGCATATCAATTATCGATATACTAGCATATCTTAGTATAACCAAGACCATATGTAAGCACATATTTTTATTCATTCCCTGAAACCTTGGCCTGCCAGGCTTGGGAGATGAGTGTTTTTCTGGTCCCTTCTAGTGCTGTGTAGAGTTGAAATGCCATGGGATGAACAGATTGTACTCAACTGTTACAGTGACCATATGTAGGATTTTTATGATCACTCAAAATTGTACTCATTAAAGAGAAAACAAGATTACCATATAACTTTGTGCTTCCTTGAGTGTTTGAGATGGTCCTGAATCTTAGCACACTTGTATTTAAGAGAATGAGAACTGTTATCCTCAACAAAGTAGCAGCTACAGTAAATGTGTGGCTGGAAAGTGCTGTTAGCTGGGAATGTTCTTCTGAAGTTTGTGGGCAAGGCTTTTGCTGTGGCCTGCTAATAGGTGGAACCTTGATGGGCCTTGTTAAAGCTTCCCCAGAGCTCTAATCTACACATTTCCTGTAACAGTATATTTATGTAGCTGAGATGACTGCTTGTGGTATAGTAATGCTTACTTTCCTGTATTCAAATGATAGTAAGGTGGCACTGTATAAAGCATGCAAATCTTTTATGAGCCCGTGGAACTAAACTTTTATAAAACTCAAGGTTGTTTTTAACCAGTTACTAATGTGTTCATAAAATACTGATCAATACATCTAGTACCCCTTAAAATTGTATTTTTTTGTTATCATTATAATATGTAATTTTTAATGAAATGAGTAGGGACGTACAAAATATTGTGTTGAGTGTAATCACCTTAAATATGTTTGTTTTTTAACATGATTAAAAAATTTATAACACATTTTATGATTTTGTGGGTTTTGCAGTTTACTAGTAAAGAAAATGGCACAAAATCTCTTCATTAATTTCTGCATAGGAAATCACACACTTGGATTAAATGATATATTCTTAGATTAATAGTTTCTTGTACTTTAAAGAATCAAAGAGTTTAGGAATTGTTGATCTGGGGAGACTGAGAAGCTGCTGAGCCAAACTGAGAAATGGCAAATGTTTTACTATATTTAGTTAAAAAAACAAAAACAAAAACGGGGCTTTGTGACTTCTTTAGTTGTTAAGCAAAGGGCCAGAGGACAAAAGACTGGGACTAGATGGAAGAATGTCGATATCACACAATTCTGGTTGCCTTGGTTTGCTTCCACTTTGAGATTCTCAGCCTTAACTGGAGTCTGAACTTTCTGTGCTTGTTTCCATACCTAGTGATCAGGAGATTCTGCTAATATCAGACACTGTCCCAGTAAGGAGACTTCTTCTACACTTGTCCATCCTGCAAATGAGGATCAGGTTGGGAAAGTCAGGTCCACTGGACTGTGTTTGGAAATGTCCAGTTATATAAGAGCTGAGGGCTCCATGTCAGAGGCCAGAATGCTAGCTAGCAACTCCCATGTATCAGAATTGGCCTCTGCCCACAAAGTTGGACTTGTCACTACATTCTACCTGCATGTTAGTATAAAATGTCTTCTCTTGCTCTTTTTCAAAACAAATCCAGTAGATGAAAGTGTGCAATTAGTCCCCCTGCTCATAGGGAGTGTTTCTGTATTTCTTTTCGCTAATGTAACTACAAGGAACACGTGAAAGTGCTAGAAATACCTGTGAACCGACTGCTACCAGCTTAAGTAAGAAAAGAGAGCTTACTGTAAGGGATTAAAACAAGCCATACATGTAAACATTGTGGCTTTATACTGATTGCGGATTTACTGTCTTGCTCCAGTCAACTCTTAAACAAATAAAATACAGGGAAAAGAAATAGTTTCAAGCCAGGCATAATAGCACATGCCTTTAATTCCCTCATTCAGGAGGCAGAGGCAGGGCGATATCTTTGAGTCTGAAACTCCCTTGTTCTGCATAGTGAGTACCAGGAGAATCCAGGCTAAGTAGAGAGACACTGCCTTGGGAAAAAAAAAAGTTTTAAAGATTCTGAATATCAAGGACCATGCATACACTCGAGCTAGGCCCTTACACATACATGGACAGTGGGCAGCTTGGTGAGCATATGGTCTCCTAGAGAGGGGAACGGGGACTGCCTCTGACATGGACTCTGTGGCCTGCTTTTTGATCACTTCCTTCTTGCTGGGCTGCCTCACCAGGCCACAGGGGAAGAAGTCATGCTAAGTCCTGATTCCACTTGATGTGCTGGTAGGGGGAGGTTCTCCTTATCTGAGGAGTAGGGGAGGGAACATAGGGGAAAAGGGAGGAAGGATAGGAATGGGAGGGTAGGAGGGAGGGCATACGATCAAGATGTAAAGTGAATAAATAAAGTAATTGAAAAAAGAGATTCTGGATATCAGGCAACAGAGAACAATGATCCCTGAGATTTGAGAAAGGTACAAGAAGAATCCTGTGATTGTCTCAGAGGACTGTACTGAAGGATTTCCAAAGTACAGAACAGGGAAGGGTAGCATACAAAGCTCCAGTGAGCTATGTGAGGTGATGGTATGGAGGCTTCTCAAGGAAAAATAAGAATTACCATGGGATCAATTATCCAGAAACTGAATTCAGTGTGCCAAAAAGGTCTTCTCACTCCCATATGCATTTTAGCAGTATTCACAATTACCACATGGAAACCACACAAGCGTTCACCAGAAGACGAGAGGATAAAGATAATGCAACATACACCACCTTGCTCTTTACGCAGACTTCCCATGTTGTCCAGTGTTTAGCCTGTCTCATCACAGGGATACCAACAATATGAATGATCAAGCCAGTATTTTTTCTTTAAAACCTACCAGCCCTGCAGTCACACTTGCCATTGAGAAATTACCTGGATGGAAATGACAGAGACAGAGACAGTAATTTAGTAAAGAAATAGAGATATTGAAGTGGACTCAAGTTGAAATGAAGATCAAATTAAAATGCCCAGTAGCCCAACTAGGAATTACAAAGGAAAGACTTAAAAATGAATGACTCAAGAAGATAACATATGCAAGAGACATGAAAAATCAAATAAAAACAAAACAAAAACCACACATACAGGAAATACAGGACACCAAACCAAAGAGAAAAACTCCCCCCCCCCCAAAAAAAAAGCAAATAAATTAAAAAAAACCCAAACCTTTGAATTATGGACATAGACAAGGGAGAAGAATCCCAAGTCACTAGCATAGACCAGGTCTTCAACAAGGCCATAGAAGAAAACTCCCCCAAATAAGAAGAAAGACACATCCCTACAGACACAAGAAGCGTACAGAGCACCAAATAACAAGACAAGACAAGAGAATCTTCACAGTGTATGAGAGTATATATAACACAGGTTGTGTATTGAAAACTCCAAGAGAAAATACACAAATCACATATAAAGAAAAAAAACCATCATAATAACAGCCGATTTCTCAAAGGA